GAGCCTGCTTCCGATTCTGTGTGTCTCTCCTCTCAGCCCCTCCCCTGCTTGTGCTCTGTCTCTCAAAAATAAATAAACATTAAAAAATTGTTTTTAAAAAGAAGCAATCAATGGCTTCAGGACCACTGATCCGGGTGCTTAGGTGGGCTATCAGAACCCAACTTTCTTTTTATTTTTTAATTTTTTTTAATGCATATTTATTTGAGAGAGAGAGAGAGAGAGAGAGACAGAGTGCAAGTTGGGGGAGGGGCAGAGAGAGAGAGAGGGAGACACGAATCCGAAGGAGGCTCCAGGCTCCGAGCTGTCAGCACAGAGCCCAATGCAGGGCTCAAACTCACGAGCAGTAAGATCATGACCTGAGCTGAAGTCAGATGCTTAACCCATCGAGCCACCCAGGCGCCCCAAGAACTCAACTTTTCTATTTCTATTTCTATTTGGTCCACACTGCTTTCCTCTGTGGTGTCTTCATTCACCGGCATGCTCTCTCCAAGCAGAAGCCTGCAATCGTTGCAAGCCTGCATCCCCCCAGCGGCCCCCTCAATGGATAAAAAGCTTCTCTTTGCCAGGAGTTCCAACCAAAAGTCTCAGGAAGGTGTCTCATTGGCCTGAATTGGGTCACGTGTTCCAGTATCAACCAATTACTGAGGCCAGGAGGTGGGCTATAATGATTGGCCCATCCTGGGTCACAGTCACATCCAAGCTTGGCCCCCACCTGAGTCCTGTAAACCTTTCCAATGCAAATCTGGTGGTGGCTTTGGAAGAGCAGCATGCGGGGAAGGTGAAAACAAAAGATGTCCTCTATAGATGTTAAAAGGTGGTCTGCGAATTGCTAATAATAACTTTTTTTTCTCCCTGAAGTCAAATAAGTTCAGGAAACACTTATGTCTCCTGAGCCATGAACTTATTAACGCGCATTTTGTCTCTGCAACGGAGCGTGAGACAACTTTTCCCAGGCTCTCCCGACCACAGAATTCTTTCCTGAGAAGCTGCTCCCAGGACTCATGGGCCACATGGTGCATTTTGGGGAAAACAACACTGAACACCACGAAGAGCCCAAGGTCCCGTGGCAGTCACCGTCAATGCCTTGTACGAGAAAAAAAAAAAAAAATTATTTCTGCTCCCAGCTTCCATCCGCAGGGATTCTTTCTACCGGCCACCCCAGTGGGCAAAGATACCCCAGCCCCAGCCCCATAGATCTCATTGCATTGACTCTGTCCTGGCTGGCTCGTCGACCGGTGGAAGCAAAGCCATGTAATCTCGCTGGTCCAAGAGGCAAAAATGGGAAGCTGCTTAGTTAGTGCTTCAGGGAATGCCCCTACCCCCAATCCACCAAGGCAAGGACTGGAGTCACCTTGGACGTCCCCATGCCTCCCAGCACAACCTGTCACCACGCCCCTTGCTCCGGCCTCCCAAACGTCTCATGCCACCACCCCTCTCCATTGCCCCTGCCACTTCTTCGGCTAGCCCACCACCACTTCTCATGCAACAGCCTCCCCACCGCCCCCCACCTCAGGGCCTTTGCACATGCTGCTGCTAAGGCCTGGAACTCACCCGCCTTGGCATAGACCGACCAGCAATTCTCAGCCCGTTTACTGTCTCTTAAAGCTGCCCTGTCCTCCCGCCTCCACTTATTCCCTCCTTGGGCCTCGGTCTCTCTTATTACGAAATCGTTTAGATATGCAAACACTTAAGAGAATCCTGTCCCAAACACTTGTGTACCCAACTCCGCTTGAGAATAAGACATTACACTTATCACGGAGGCCTTCCCGAATGCCTCCCCGACCCTTCCCCGCGCTCGGCCGCACGGTTGCCTCTCTCCTGAACTTGGTGTTCCTCGTTGCTTTGCCCATATTTGCACACGCTGTGTATCCCTGAACCATATATTTCGGTTTTCATGTTTCCAACTTTCTATATACAAATAAAAGAACTTGTTTTCTGGTTCTCACTCCATATTCTCTTGGTGATATTTATCTGTGCTGACTGGTGTTGCCCCGATGCACTCATTTTCACCTGCTGGGAAGCGTCCGTGCTGTGACTGGGCTACAAGCCCTGTCCATTCTCTTGGTCACGGCCCCTACCGTTGCCAGCTGTTGGCCATTGCAAGGCTGCCCCGAGCCCCAGGTGCCCACCCCCTGAGCCCGTGTGCCAGCTGCTCTGGGTTTATACCCAAGAGTTTGCTAGATAAAAGGAAACACCATCTTCAGCCTTACTGATGTTGCTAGATCGTTCTCCAGGGTGCTTGCACCAGCATACCTTTGTGATAAACTTTCTATTCCTTGGCCCAGGCACAAAAGGTGCCTCTTCTCGTCTATTTCCTCCAGATAAACTCTCCCTGTTGACATCCAGCCTGTCCAACGCTCTCTCTAAGCCTCCCTCCCCCATTTCTCCAATCGGACCTCTCACAAGCTTCCCTGGTAGAGCAGCCGACACTTTGCACAACACCCAGAGCAAGGACATTGGCAGCAGTGACTCCAGAGGCCAACAGCCCCAGATCGAATCCCAGACTTGTCACTTTGGCTGTGTGCCTTTGGGCAAATCGCTTCTCCTCTCTGGGCCTGCTTCCTCACCTGCGAATGGGGATACCCACAGGAACTGACCACAGGGGAACGGCAGCGATCGAATGAGGGAAGCATGGAAACATGGCGCATGCTTGAAGGGAAGCTGTCACTATTGCCTTTGGAGCCAACAAAGGACGCCAACAACTGTGTGCATCACTCAAGGCTACTTTGGCGTGTGCAACAGAAATCCCAAGTCAAGCCGGGTGAAGACAACGGGTAATTTATTGGCCCATGTAACTGGGAAGTCTGAGGGGGGTGTCTCGCTTCAGATGTGACTGGACCCAGAGATTCCGACACCCTGTCCACCTCGAGGCCATTCTCTCCTCCACGTGGACTTCGTTCTTGGGCAGGCTCGCCAAGTAGCGCCAGGAATATATTCTTCCAGTTTACCAACTGCCATGGAGCAAAAAGAGCTTCTCCTTCCGGTCATTTCTGGCCCAAGTCCCAGGGTTGGTCCTCGGTGGCCCAGATTACGTCACGTGCCCAGACCAGAGCCAATCACAATGACCAGGGCGTCCACCAGAAGGTGCTCGAAGTCTGGTTCTCGGAAGAGCGCTATCAGAAGCATCTGGTAGTTTCTCTGAAATGCAGACTCTCGGGCCCCAACCCAGACCTACTCATTCGGAATCTGCATTTTAGCAAGACCCCCCCGGTGAGTCATCTGCACACCCGAGTCCGAAAAGGCTGCATCGCACATTACCTTTCGGTTGCTTGGGGTCAAGTCCACCCCCTTGCTCTAAAGATGGAGAAAATGAGGGCCGGCAGGAAGCAGTCTTGCTCTCGAAGGTCACTCTGCACCCAAGGTTCCCATGCCCTGCCCTCCCATCATCCCAGCCATCGTCTGCCGTGGGTCCAGTGGACTATCGCGTTGGGGGAGATACATCGAAGCCTCGAATCCCAGAAGGCCCAGTCTGGGTCGGACTTGCCTCACGCCGAAGCGCCGTGCCCCAGGCACCATTTGGTCACTCCCAACGGCTGATGAGGACCCTCAGGAGCATGGCGGCCCAGGGAGGATGGAGACCCCCAGACACACACACACACACACACACACACACACACACACACACGTGCGTGCACACAGCTCCCACACGGGCGCCCAGGCAAGCCCACCCTCACTCGGACTCCCCCCCACGGGCCCCCCAAAGGCAAGAGCGCTACAGACCACACCAGCCTTTATTCTACTGCCGAATAGGGCTGGGGCCAGGGTAGCTCATTCTCAGGCTGCGTCAGAAGGTGCAGAGTGTTGGGGGCACACAGGCTGGACCCCAAAGTGACAATAAGTTAGGGGGGAGATTCTCAGGCTGTTCTCAGGCTGCAGTCAGGGTGGGGTGCCTAGGAGGGTCCCCCAGAGCCACTGCCAGCTGCCCAGCTCAGCACTCCCGAGCAAGGCTGGTTTGAGGACAGGCATGGCCTCGCGCTGAAACAACAGGGAGAGGGAGGGGTTGCAATGTCAGGAGGTCAGTGGGGGTCCGAGGGGTCCCCGAAGGAGTCGGAGGATAGGGCTGAGGGGCCGCGGAAGGGTGGGCAGGGCCTCTCACCGGACCCTCAGTTAAGCCCCTGCAGATTCTCATAATCTGGAGCTCCCTCTTCCTCGTCGTCGTTCTGGGAGCTCAGGATGGCTGGAAGGGGAAAGAGATCAGTCTTAAGCTCACAGACCGTCCCTCCTGCCCCGGGCACATTACCTTTCACGTCACCCCAAGCTCCTGCCACCCCCCCATCCCAGCACACACCAGGCTCGGTCCTAGCCACGGGTGGCAGCTCCTGGGACACATTCACGTACTCCCGGCTCCCATCTGCGGGGACAGATCAGAAGGGGGGACGGCCACGTGGAGGGTGAGAGAAGAGGACACTCAGAAAGAGGGCCACAGCAGGTGAGGGTGGGGGAGGGAAGGGGGACCCTAGGGGGCACCGGCCACTCACCCAGAGACACGTCTGCACTCTCCTCGCTCTCGGGGACGTTCACGTAATCCTCCCCCGACTCCACTGCAGGAGAAGCAGGGCCCCCGGCACTGTCACCCAGAGCCCCGAGCACAGACCCCAGAGGCCACCCCGCAGCCAGCCCCAGAGGGTCCCACAGAGGCCCTGGTGATGGAGAGAAGTAGGGCAACGTGCCCAGAGCGGATGAGAGGGAGTGGAAGTGTGGGGGAGAACAGACAGCATGTCGGCCAGGCTGGGGGCAGGGGCAGAGAGCAGCTCGGAGCCATGGCGCTGGGTGGCACGTATGAGACAACGCTTGTGGGGTGCCGAGTCTGAGGTGCTGTCGCCCCACTGGCCCCGTCGGCCAGGCCTGCCCTGACCCCCGCTCCCATCCTGGGGTCTTCCAGCACCTGGAGCCATCGGCGCCATCTTGCCCTTTTTTATTTACTTAAAGTAGGCTCCCCACCAAGCACGGAGCCCAACGTGGGACCTGAACTCACGACCCCGAGATCAAGACCTCAGACGGGATCAAGAGTCGGACACCTAAGTGACTGAGCCACCCGGGTGCCTCCCACCTATCTTGTCCCTCCACGCTGACTTGTTTCTCCACGAGGCCGTGGACGAGGCAGGCTTTGGAGCCAGAGAGCCCAGGTGCAAACCCAGCTCCCACACTGACAGTCGTGTAACCTCACACAAGCTACCTAGCCTCTCTGGGCCTCGGTGTTCTCATCTGTAGAATAGGGTGAGGGGTGGCACCCACCTCCCAGGAGCGCCGTGAGAACTAAAGCCGAGAATATCTGAACGGGGCCGCCAAGTGTCTATGAGATATATGGTCCCTCCTGTCGTACAGTCAGGACAACCGAGGTGCAGGAAGGGAAGAGATGGGCTCAAGAGCACCTGGGGATCCTGAGGTTTAATGAGTTAATACACGAAATGCTCTCAGAAAGGCACGTAGTAGGTCCCTGACAAGCTGAGCTCCTTTATCATGACACTACCTCGTGAGCTGTTTTATCAGAGGCACCCAGTAAACACGGCGAGTAAGTGAGGGATGGATGAATAAATGAGCTCAGGGGAGGTGGGGAGTTGGGAATCGAGCTCGCTCACGAAGTCAGGGTGTAGAAGGAATGGCCCAGAACAGGTACGGAAAGTGAGGAGAGCGACAGAAAATGGAAGGTCACCAAACATGGAAGGAAGCCTCTAACAGGCAACGTGAGACGAACACGAAGGGAGAAAAGCAGCTCAAAGGAAACCAAAATGATGCCGGAAGCAGAAGAAAACTTCCAAAAAACCCTCAAAGAAGACAATCTATAATCGATATCTTTAGAAATGTACAAGATGGTATTGTCTCTGTGAAACAAGAACAGAAGGCTATGAAAAAGGAACACCAGAGACCAAGAAAAGAGCTTTCAGATAAGAGACAAAAGAACAGAGTCTCAAAGAATAGTGAAGTTGGAGAAATCTCACAGACAATAAAAGGGAAAGACAAAGAAACAGAAAAGAGGATAGAAAAAGTAAGGAAACCAGCAGATCAGAGTGGAAGTCCGCCCTGAGGGACAGGTGTTCTAGAAAGAGAGGAGAGAGAATGCGGAGGGGCAGCAAGCATCAAAGAAATAACAGGAGAGGGAAGAGCAGACAGGCCGCAACACAGAGTGTCAGAAATGGCCAACTCACTGGAGAAGGCGCTGTCTCGGAGGCCAGGGTTGCTGGGTGCGGGAGCCGGTGGGACAGCAGTGCCTGTCGTTGGCGTGCTGTCAGGAAGCACCTCCCTGAGGACAAGTCAAGGGGCAGGTGAGTAAGGACCCCCAGCTGGAGCTCCCACCCCCCCACCTGGCCACTCACAAGTAGCCCTCGTTGGGATAATCCTCCTCCTCGTCTTCATCATCGTCCTCACAGGCGGGCTCTGAGGTAACGACACAGCGATCAGCAGGGCCCAGCCCAGGCCCCAGCCTCCCTGCAACCAGGGCACCTGGGGCCCCAGACGCACCCTCGTTCTCGTAGCTCGCCACACTGTTGGCTTGAGAGAGAGAGCAAGAGGGAGGCTGAGTCAGCTCACACGGGGTCTATCCTCTGCCCAGCCCCAGCCCCCTGAGCCCTGCTCCACACTTACCACCATCTGAGTCCTGCCGGGAAGATGGCATGCGGTGGGAGCCCCCAGGGGGCTGTGGGGACCTCCTGGGAGTCAAAGGTCAGAAGTCATGCTGAGATGGGGCACTGGACCAAGAGGGGTTGCAACAGGGCAAGAGATCCCCAATCCTCAGAGGCGAGGGGGTATAAAGGGGGATTTGGAGGGGAGGATGCTACTCACGGGATGGGAAGCAGGTCCGGCTGGCTCAAGGGTGGGTAGGAGGTAACAGGAGGATAGGAGGTGGCTGGTGTCCAGGTGGCGAGTGTGGCTGAGGACACGAGACCAAGCTCAAGGAACGACTCCAGACATTTTGCCCCCACACTCATCGAGGCCTCAAAGGGCAGGCGAATTCTGTGAACCCCCTGGGCCCTGCACCGGCCTGAGGACACCCATATCCCTTCCTATCCCCAGCTCAGATCAAAGCCATGTGGGCAGCCACCGTGGGGGGGGAACCTGAACAGAGGCACGCTTTCTCTCACATGCCAGGGGACCCACTCCCCTACACCCGAGGGAGAGGACCCTCCATGTACTCACGAGGGCGTTTGATCACGATGCTACTTGGGGCCAAGCTGGCAGGAGAGACACAGATAGGTAAGGGGCAGGAGAGACCCCAGCTCCCATCCCAGTCCCCTCCCCTCCCCGGGGCCACACAGGGCACTGAGGGAGCCACCTAGGGTCGACGGGCAACTCACCTGTCAGAGGCCGTATTGTCATAGGAGCCTGGGGAAGAGAAGCCAGTAAGGCAGGAAGCGGGGTGAAGAGGGGAGAGGCTGGGAGTACGGGGCTCAGGTCTCGCGTGCAAGCAGAGTTCGGGACAGTCGGGATGGAGTGAGAGGTAGAGGAGGGCCGAGCCCCCACTCACCTGGCAGCTCTCGGCACCGCACACACAGCACCACAGCCAGCAGCGGCAGCAGCAGGAGGCCCAGCACGTAGGGGATCAGGACGACCGCCTCCATCTGCGGGAGAGAGCTTGCACCAGGCCCGGCTGCCCGCCGCTCACCCCCTCAAGGGCCGAGCCGCGGTGGGGTGAGGGCCAGGCCAGCAGGGGTGCGGGAGCCGGGTGGGCACAGCCTGGAAGCCCGACCGGGGGGTGGGGGTGGGGGGCAAGCGCGCCCTCCTTGGGGACTCACTGGCCCCTTCCCCTTTCTGGGCTGAGTAGGGGGGGGCGGGTCAGCGCCGACCGTGCAAGACCCCTGCTCCCTGCGCAGTCCGGCCAGGGTCCGGGCTGGAGTCGGGGGCACCCGTCACCCGGCGGCGCGGCCCCTGCGCGCCCCAGCCCTACCTGCCGCTCGGCTAGGCGCCTGCTTCTCCTCAGCGCCTGCCCGCCTGTGGCAGGAAGCTGTGGTGAGCCCGGGCGAGGGCAGGAAATCATCGGGCTCAGCCAGCTGCACCCGCCCCCTTCCCACCCCCACCCAGCCAGTGGGGAGGGGGAGGCGGAGGCCCGCGGGGCCACCCACAGGCCCTCGAGAGGGGTCTGCTGGCCCCCAGGACGCAGAGCGAGCCCTACCAGGGGCAGAAGGGCAAGACGCGGACAGGCCAGCCCACAGCCACGGCCTCCACAGCCGTGGCTCAAGGAGGCAGCCAGGAGGGAGGCCCTGCCCCTGGGAGCTGAGGGGCACAGGGCAGTGCCCACCCCACCTCACCCTGGCCGGCCTGCCAAGAGGGGCGGGCTCAGGGGAACCACGGTTCTGACTCACGGTCATACTGAGCTCGCTCACCCCACACTGCTGTTCGCCAGGCCCCGAGAGCAGGGATTTGCCTAAGGTCCCCACAGGAGTGACCCTCTAGCCCCGGGGAGTCCTGGGGTCTGCCAGCCAGAGATACTACCGCCCAGAGAGACTCGAGCAGGCACTTGGGGTCTGACTACAAATTTTATTCAGTTACAAATAGCACCAAGCCCCTGGGGCTGCTCCAGGAGAGAGGAAGGCCCCTCCCGGACCCACCGCCCCCCTGCCCCGACCGACCGCTGCCTGTGTAGTGTATGGGAGCTGGAACGCGGCCCGAGGCCGTTCCTAGAAGCTGGGCCAGTCCAAGGGTTCGGGCC